CCCAAGGGCCATCCAGTCCAACCCCCCTCCCATTCTGCCATGCAGGAACTCCCTATCCAAGCATCCCCACTGACAGATGGCCATCCAGCCTCTGCTGCAGGCGTTTTATTGTTGTTTTATTATTGTATATTTTAAACTTCTTGGAATTGGTTTTAATTAAATCTGGTTTAATAGTTTTTTAAGGGTGGGTGGGAAATACGTTGGTTTTAAGTTGTACTATTTTAATGTTGTGAACCGCCTGGATTGGGTCACCAATGAGCGGTATATAAATAAAAATTATTATTATTATTATTATTATTATTATTATTATTATTATTATTATTAAAGACGACGATGATGATGATGATGATGATGGCAGCAGCCTCTTGGCCAACAAAGTAGAATCCTCCCTGAAGAAGGGGACAGGCACACTTTGGGATCAGAAAGCCAAGAAAAGAGTGCCAAGAGTCCCTCGGAGTGTGGTGGAGTCTCCTTCCTTGGAGGTCTTTAAACAGAGGCTGGATGGCCATCTGTCGGGGATGCTTTGATTGGGAATTCCTGCATGGCAGAAGGGGGGGTTGGACTGGGTGGCCCTTGGGGTCTCTTCCAACTCTAGGATTCTAAGAATAAATTGCTAAGTATTTAGGAGAGAGTATGCACAGAAGCATAGCCTTGGAAGGGATTTCCCCAAGAGGTCATCCAATCTAACCCCATTCTGTCATGCAGAAGCTCACAATCAACCCCCCCAACCAACAAATGGCTATCCAGCCTCTGTTTAAAGAAGGAGACTCCACCACTTTCCAAGCATAGCAAAGCAAAGAGTGCCAAGAATAAAGGCTAAGCATTTAGTAGAAGCATAGTGTTGGAAGGGACCCCCCAAGAGGTCATCCAATCAAACTCCCCTTCTGCCATGCAGGAGCTCATAATCAACCCCACCAACAGCAACAGATGGCCATCCAGCCTCTGTTTAAAGAAGGAGACTCCACCACTTTCCAAGCATAGCAAAGCAAAGAGTCCAAGAATAAAGGCTAAGCATTTAGTAGAAGCACAGAAGTATATTGTTGGAAGGGATTTCCCCAAGAGGTCATTCAATCTAACCCCATTCTGCCATGCAGGAACTCACAATCACACACACCCCAACCAACAGATGTCCATCCAGCCTCTGTTTAAAGAAGGAGACTCTGTTTAAAGAAGGAGACTGTTTAAAGAAGGAGACTCCAAGCATAGCAAATCAATGAGTGCCAAGAATAAAGGCTAAGCATTTAGTAGAAGCATAGCCTTGGAAGGGATTCTCCCCCAAGAGGTCATCCAATCTAACCCCCTTTCTGCCATGCAGGAACTCACAATCAAACCCCATCAACACCAACCATCCAGCCTCTGTTTAAAGAAGGAGACTGCACCACACTCCAAGGGAGCATCTTCCACTGTCAGAACAGCTCTTACTGTCAGGATGTTCTTCCTAATGGTTAGAAACATAGAGTTGGAAGAGAATCCAAGGGGCAAACTAGTCCAACCCCCCTTCTGCCATGCAGGAAGACACAATCAAAGCACCCCCAACAGATGGCCATCCAGTCTTTCTTTAAAAACCTCCAAAGAAGGAGACTCCACCACTCTCCGAGGGAGTGTCTTCCACTCTCTTACTGTCAGGAGGTTCTTCCCAATGTTTTGGAGGACTCTGTTTTGCTGCACTTTGAATCCATTGTTCCATGTCTAATTCTCTGGAGCAGGAGAAAACAAGTTTGCTCCATCCTCAACATGACATCCCTTCAAATATTTAAACAGGGCTATCATGTCACCGCTGCATGATGGGTTGAGCTCCTGTCACAAGTCTCAGCTTCTGCCAACCTAGCAGTTCAAAAGCATGCAAATGCAAGCAGAGAAATAGGTACCACTTTGGTGGAAAGGTAAACAGCATTCTGTGCAGTCATGCTGGCCATAGGATCACAGAGTAGTCTCTGCCAACGCTGGCTCTTCAGCTTAGAAATGGAGAGGAGCACTGGCCCCTGCGGTTCGACACGACTTGACAACCTTGTCAATGGAGAATACCTTTACCTTACTTAATCATGTCACCAACCTTCTCTTCATAGAAACATAGAGTTGGAAGGGATCCCAAGAGGTCATCCAATCTAACCCCCTTCTGCCATGCAGGAAGACACAAATCACTCCTGAAAGTTTTATTTTTAATTTTATTTTATTTATTTTATTTCTACATTGTCTTTCTCCCAAAAAAGGGACCCAAGGCAGCTCACAGGATAAAAACGCATTACAACAAATTTATAAAAGGCAATTAAAATAACCTAACAAGAAAGGTACCAAATTAAAATTGAAAATATGCAAAAGTTAAAAGCGTAATCAAATCAAAGTTGGCCATCCAGCCTCAGTTTAAAGACCTCTAAAGAAGGAGACTCCACCACCCTCCGAGGGAGTGTCTTCCACTGTCAAACAGCGCTTACTCTCAGGAAGTTCCTCCTAATGTTTTGGAGGACTCTGTTTTTCTGCAGTTTGAATCCATTACTCCACTTCCGATTCCCTGGAGCTACAGAAAACAAGCTTGCTCCAGCCTCAATATGACATCCCTTCAAATATTTAACACGGCTATCATATCACCAACCTTCTCTTCATAGAATTATAGTGTTGAAGGATACCCAAGAGGCCATCCAATCCAACCCCATTCTGCCATGCAGAAACTCACACTCAAAGCATTCCCAACAGATGGCCATCCAGCCTCTGCTTAAAGATCTCCAAAGAAGGAGACTCCACTACTCTCCGAAGGAATGTCTTCCACTGACAAACAGCTCTCACTATCAGGTCTTTCCTCCTAATGTTGAGGTGGAATCTCTTTTCCTGTAGTTTGCATCCGTTGTTCCTATTCTCTGGAGCAGCAGAAAACAAGCTTGCTCCCTCCTCAATATGACATCCCTTCAAATATTTAAACAAGGCTATCATATCCCCTCTTAACCGCCTCTTCTCCAGGCTAAACATACCCAGCTCCCTAAGCCTTTCCTCATAGGGCTTCATGGCTTCCAGACCCTTCACCATTTTGGTGGTCCTCCTCTGAACATGCTCTGGCTTCTCAACATCCTCACTGGGGAGAGGTCCATTTTGGGGACCCTGAGAGCCTGAGCTTTGCAGATCTCAAGCCCTCCCCTAGCCTAACCTTCAAATTGCAAATTTATTGCATGAGAGCCAGTGTGGTGTAGTGGTCTGCATGTTGGACTATGACTCTAGAGATCAGGGTTTGATTCCCAGCTTAGCCATGAAACCCACTGGGTGACCTTGGGCAAGTCACACGCTCTCAGCCTCAGGGGAAGCCCATGGCAAACCTCCTCTGAACAAATCTTGCCAAGAAACCCCTGTGATGATAAGGTTACCCTAAGTTGGAAATGAGTTGAAGTCACCCAGCAACAACCAATTTATTGCCCCCAGACCCATCTTCAAATGGCAAATCCCCCTCTGGAAAGACTTGCCAAAAAAAAAACCCATGGTAGGGTCGCCATAGGGTTTCCCTGAATTAGAAACGACTGGAAGGCACACAATGACAACAAAGGACCAAAGCACAGTTCCCAGAATTCCACAGCTCTGAGCCATGGCAGTTAAAGCAGTGTCAAACTGGATTATTTCTGCAGTGCAGATCCAACCTTGATGACTCGTTCAGAAACCACAAAGAACTCTTGCAATGATCTACATTTACTATTCTATTACAGCCTAAAACTGGTTGATCTCAAAGGTGCCGCAAAAAAAGTCTTACAACATACCATAAGTTCTACTCCTTTAGCAGGAAACTGTTACTCAGACAGTAATGTTATGAAAGAATTGTTTCCCACTTCCTTCCTTGTTTTTCCTCTCTTCTACGTAGTATCTGTTTGCAATCCTGTGTGTCTCTACTCACAAGTAATCCCATTGGATGTCATGCACTTTACTCTTAGGATGGTGTGTATAGGTTTAAAAAACCTAAGCCCTTTATATACCAAATTATCTGCAGTGTATTTTTAGAAAGGCAGTAAATAAATGCAATCAGAAACAGTTAAATAACCGCTAGGTACTACTCGGTGTAATAAATGTACTAAAGAGAGCCAGAGTGGTATAGTGGTTTGAATGCTGGTCTAGGACACTGGAGACCAGGATTCAAATCTTTGCTCAGCCATGGGAACCCACTGGGTGACCTTGGCCAAGTTGCACTCTCTCAGCCTCAAGAGAAGGCCATGACAAACCTCCTCTGAACAAATCTTGCCAAGAAAACCTTTGGGTCACCATAAGTCGGAGATGACTTGAAGGCACCCAACAACAACTAGGGCTAGTTACCCTCTCTCAGCCTCAGAGGAAGGCCATGGCAAACCTCCTCTGAACAAATCTTGCCAAAAAAACCTCATGATAGGTTTGCCTTAGGGTCGTCATAAGTCGGGAATGACTTGAAGGCACCCAACAACAACTAGGGCCAGTCACACTCTCTCAGCTCCAGAGGAAGGCCATCACAAACCTCCTCTGAACAAATCTTGCCATGGTGGGTTTTCCTTAGGGTCGCCATAAATGAGAAACAATGTGAAGGCATACTACACACACACACACACACACACACACACACACACACACACGACTGAGTTTGGTTTGGATAGGTTTCCCATGGCCTTCCTCTGAGGCTGAGAGAGTGTGACTGGCCCTAGTTGTTGTTGGATGCCTTCAATTAATCTCCGACTTATGGCGACCCTAAGGCAAACCTATCATGAAGTTTTCTTGGCAAGATTTGTTCCTATTAGTGCTTTGGAAACAGCAACAACAACAACAATGTGGCAAGATGGCGGGTTGGGGATGATTTTAAACTACATTTATAATGAGAATACAGCCGGCCTTCCACATTTGTGGCTTTGACTTTTGTGGATTTAATTATTTGCAGATTTGAAAAATATATGTTCTCTTTAGGAACGGCTGGGTCCTCCACTGCAACTCTGCCAGACGTTGACCATAGAGTTGCACTGGAGGACTTAGAAGTTACTAGAGAAAACACTTCTCTAGGCATCTGTAGGTCCTCCAGTGTGATTCTGTGGTCAACTTTGGGCATAGAGTTGGCCATAGAGTTGCGCTGCAGGATCAAGAGCAGGGATAGGCAACCTTTCCCCTTAAAGGGGGCCGAGGGACTTCAGCTCCCAGAATCCCAGGAGCTATTGGCCAACATGGGACTATTGGCCAACATGGCTGAGGCTTCTGGGAGCTGAAGTCCCTCGGCCCTTAAAGGGGAAAGGTTGCCTACCCCTGATCTAGAGATTCCTACTAGAGAGGTGTTCTCTCAGGTTTTAAAATAATAACAGTGGTTGTATTTGTTGTTTTTCCACATTCACAGAGAATGTGGAGGGCCCAGTGTGTATCACAGGCAGTGATGACTCTCCTGTTGCGCAAGCGCACACCTTCCTTCTCTTGCTGCAAGGGCTTGTGATGCGCAAACGCAATGTGACTTCATTTGCCCTCAAAAGGGATCTCACGGAGTCAACATCTGATGGGTTTCACAGTGCCGTGAATCACTACTTTCACCATTCACTGCGATTGTTATAGTATGGGGATGGGCAAAGTGTGCTCTCCCTGGCACTGGCCCTTTGAATGCCGGATTAAATGGGATTAATTAAAGAATCAAATGAGTAAAGAAAGAGCAGAATGCACATTGCCAGACTGTACAAACTGCCATCACAGGTCCAAAGCACACTGCAGAAATAATCCAGTTCGAGACCACTTTAACTGCCCTGGCTCAGTGCTAGGGAATCCTGGGAATTGTAGTTTATTGTGGCACCAGAGCCCTGGCACCATCCCACCATGTGTGTAGTGAGAAGTTGGGCAAGTCTGGGTAGAACCAGCCAGTCACAGTGCTTTTTCTTGGTGGTTGTTGTTGTTGTGTGCCTTCAAGTCGTTTCCAACTTCTGGCGATCCTAAGGCCAGATCATGGGGTTTTCTTTGCAAGTTTCTTCAGAGTGGGGTTGCCATGGCCATCACCTGAGGCTGAGAGAGTGTGACTTGCCCAAGGCCACCCAGTGGGTTTCCATGGCCGAGCCAGGATTCGAACCCTGGTCTCACAGTGCCCTAACGCAATGCTGAAACCACTATGCCACACTGGCTCTCCCATGGAGTGCTATGGGGCAATATAAAACCAGAGGCTTTGGACTGTTTGATAGGGCCAGTTAGAAATAACAATAACAATAATAATTTCTTACCTGTCTCTTCCCATGGATTAAGGCAGGAGACACCAACAATTAAGAAACAACAACATTTAAAAGACATCACTTTACAACACACATCAGTTTAAAAAGACAAATAAGACATGGGTCCAAACCACACTGCAGAAATAATCCAGTTTTAGACCGCTTTAACTGCCCTGGCTCCATGCTAAGGGATTCTGGGAACAGAATGTCTTCTGCGAGACAGAGAGCTCTGGTGCCACAATAAACTACTTTTCCCAGGATTCCCTAGCACTAACCCAGGGCACATTCATTACAACGTATTTATAGCAAGAATAAATTTTTTTAAAAATCAAATGTCTTGTCACATTATTGGTGTTTTGGAATGGAATAAGGAGCTGAAAAAGTTTGTTTTCACCTCCAGGGAGAAAATCGAGAATTAAATGGGATACCTTAAAAAAATATAAAAGAAAGAGGCGGATGCAAATTGCTGGACTTCAGACTGTATAGATTGCCATCTCTGCTCCAAAACGCACTGCAGAAATAATCCAGTTTGAGGCTGCTTGACCGCTTTAACTGCCGTGGCTCAATGCTTTAGGGAATCCTGGGAATTGTAGTTCATTGTGGCACCAGAGCTCTCTGACAGAGAAGGTTAAATGTCTCACAAACACTACAGCATATTTTAACAGCATTACTTCAGAATAGACCAGCAGATATGATAGAAAAACAGTGGGATTTGGTAAGGAATTATGGAAATAACAAAGACAAATAATAATGAATAAGAGATAAAATTGTTTTCTTTTATAAAGGATCTGGATAAGAGGAATGGATATATTAAGGAAACAAAGTTAAGCAACAATTTTAAAAAGAATAGTGGTTTTTATTTGCAGTTTTTCCTACATTCGCAGTGAATGTGGAGGGACCACTATATTGATGTAATATAGGAAATACGTATAATTTTAAAAGACAATTGGGATATGTTTCAGTTCCTATTCATTTGGTGATGAGGAGCCTTCATGTCAAGTACTCTATCCAAAGAAGGTGTATAGGAAAAGTTTGTTTAGAGCCAGCATGGCATAGTGGTTTGAAGGCTGCAATGCAACTCTGGAGACCAGGGTTCAGTTCCCGGCTCAGCTATGAAACCCACTGGGTGACCTTGGGCAAGTCACATGATCTCAGCCTCAGGAGAAGCAATGGCAAACCTCCTCTGAACAAATCTTGTCAAGAAAGCCCCATTATAGGGTTACCTTAGGGTCTCCATAATTCAAAAATGACTTGAAGGCACACAACGACAACATCAAATTGTACGGTGACTTACACTAGGTCTCCAGATGTTGCTGGACTGCAATTCCTACCATTCTTTTCCGCTGGCTCTGCTGGCTACCACCAGTCCTTGCAGCTGCTGGGAATTGCAGTTCAACAATGTCTGGAGGGCCAATCTGTCCATGTGGCTTGTTTACTTGGAAGGAATTTCCAAAGTTGAGACCTGCTCCTATGTAAGTGTGCTTAGGATTGCAGCCTATGCCTGGAGGAAGGACCCATAAATGCCTGGAGGAAGCCCATAAATGTACTAGAAATGATCTTTTTGCACATGCGCAGATAGAGGAATGCTCGCCATGGAACCACGGGAAAAAGCAGGGAAATGTTCCTAAATGTGCATTCGCTTTTCACATTACGGTAAATGCAAAATTACTGTAATTTCGCAAATGCATTTCCTCAAAACAACCGAATTTCAAAAGATCTCGGATAACACCAGTTTCTGTCCACTTTCTGTCCAGTTTCTGTGCGACGTCATGTGAAAACGCGGGGCACAAATCCAGTTTCTGTTTGAGATTTGTGTGGATTAACCAGCAGATTTGCCCCCGTGTGATAACGTCCTTAGATTCCAAAATGACAAGTGAGATGGCAAAAGAGTTCCTTGGAAGCTTTCTCCTCACATAGCATGGAGACAATGGATAGGTCCTTTTTCTCTCTGGACAGACTGGACCCCAGAGAAGTTCCAGTTGCTACTTGCTGTGACTTAACACTAGTCTCAGGGTCAGAGGATAGCTGGGCAGTGTGTGTGTTGTATGCTTTCAAATCATTT